GAATGTATGAAAATCTCCCTCCTAACAGAAACACTAAGAAATTACGTCAATTTCTTAATAGTTAAATTTGATTTTTACACTTTGATAATCATCTTGGCATCCAGCGCGATAATTCGACCAGTTCAGATTTATGCAAATCTTTTTCACAAAGTATTTGCTGCAATTTAAGCACACTTAGGTTTAAGCCAAATGATATTAGTTCTTGAGTCAGGAAATGGTTTTTATTTGAGAAGGTGCATCTTGACCCATTAATTCAGAACGTCTGAATCACTGCAAGATTAATTTCATCTTTCATTAAGTTCTTCCAGGCATCTGGATAGTTAAACACTTAGAATTACTAATTGTTGAAGGTTTTTAAATCAGCTATTAAAATCTGTTCAGTAACTTGCGACTCTTAAAGTTTAGTTTTATTAAGTCTTTTTTCCTTCTGTCGTGATTTTTCATCTTGACACTTGTATAAGCTAGGATGTTCAGTTTGAAAAATCAAAAAATTTTCATTTAAACGCTGCATGGGATGCCTACTCTGATCTATTAAAACTTTTTGTGAACTATTAAAATTTTTTCCTAAATGTATGGATATAAAATTACATGCATAAAATAAAATTTGGATATATTAAAGTCAACGAAGTAATTTCTAATCGTTTTAAGTGAATTATACAAACGAAAGAGCAGCAAATACTCTTTATACATACATTAATTATTATAAAAGAAGGTTTAATAATGCAGTGTTAAATTTTAGTTTTATACTTTATTGGTCATTTTAGTATCCATCATGCAGCAGTTGAGAAGTTTTATATAAACTGTTACGCAAGTTTGTTGCAGCAGTTTAAAAACAATTTAACGTAGATTTAAGCATTGTCAGATAAGTTCTTATGTCTGCAAGATGCCGCTTACATATCAGAGATGTTAACCGTGGTTAGAACTGCTAGCAGTTTGACGATGGTTTGTGACGTCTCAAATTATCACGGATTATATCAACATGTTTTCGATTTGTATTGTAGGTTTTTTGAAGCAGAAGACATGAAAAATGAATAATGCCCTCGCCGGGACTCTAACCTGGGGCTCTCGAATACGCGCCGAGTGTGCTACCGTTACACCACGAAAGCGTGCTGGAAGGAGGGAGAAAATACTCTTTGAAAGCGCGATTGACGATTAGGGGACTCATTCACCAAATCTTGGTGGTGGCGAATTATTATCCCCACACCTTTTAGGTCGCGTGCCATTTGTAAAGTCATTAAATTATTTTGAAGCAGGAGACATGAAAAACGAGCATTGCTCTCGCCACTACTCGAACCTGGACCTCTCGAATACGCGCCGAATGTGCTATCGTTACACCAAGAAGGCATGATGAAAAGAGAGAGAAAATATCTTATAAAATTAAGGAAGCACCGGATTTGACTTATTTCAGGAAGCTGGATTGGCGTGGATTAATGTTTCCTCAAGCATGGATTACTATGCAATGAAAAAATCGGAAGACCTGCAGAAACTAGACTAAAAACGTGAAACAATAAAATACATAGTGAGTTGTTGCAAAACTTGTTGAGTAAATTAAGGTATTTAACTTAGGAGTTTCAAGGAAACGAAAGGTAATCTCCATTAATGTCGGGAAAATATATAAATTAATTATCTGAGTTAAGGAAAATCATTTAATAAATCAAATTTACGTTACAGATGGGCAAGTTCTTAGAAAAACTGTCTACCAGATAAAGGATGTCTTCATTCAGAGTTTTCTAAGATAAACCGTTTCGTATTTACGTTGCACGCCATTAGCAGAACCAGACGAGAAAAAGAAGATTTGAAACTGAAAACGGATGATCTTTTCTTGAGAAAGCAGATTTTTCCAAGATCATGAAACAATCTTCTCTCAAGCACGAACTGATAGTACATCTGCACAAATAATTACATATCTTGGAGCTTTTCCTTTCACAAGGGTGGGTGTGGGTGTGTTGAGTTATGGCAAAGCACACGAGGGCTATCTGCCTAAGGGGAGGGATGCCTTCGTGGAGGACTTTCTAAGGGAAACTGGCTCGTATACACGTTACACATGGGGAAAACCACGAAAACGCCCTTGCAGCCAGCCCGTTCGCGGGATCCGAACCTCGGACCGAACTACCAGTGTTCAGCGACTTTATCGCTCGGCCGCTGGTGGGCCCTTTCACAAGGTAACATGCGCCAAACTACTTTTTTAGAAAGATATATTGTCCATACATCATATGGCTTGATACTTCCAACCACAAAACGTAAATTCATAACGACTGTCGTAATATTTTTCTAAATATTCGAAATGCATCTCTTAGTTTAGTTACTTCTACCCCTACCCCCCCCCAAAAAAATTACAAAAATTTCAGAACGTTTATTGAAAATATACTTTGGAAACATGAACACTGTAATATGAGAGAACAATCACACATATAATTTAAAAGTGGCTGATTGGCAACATTGGCTCATATGTCTTTCTGTAAAAAATTCTTTGACGTGTAATTATTCTACGGATAAAAATCCCTTAATTATAAATTAACGAGTTTTATTATTATTATAAGAAATTAACAGTGATAAAGAAACGCTGATAATGTTTATGAACAGAATGAAGTCTCTCAAAAAAATTGTAGTTCTTTATATAAAGACTGCTGATGATAGTCTGTGCGAAAGTGGCAGACTAAGTTCCCCCAACTGTAAGATTATTATTAAATTATAAAAAATTAACAGTGTTAAAGAAACGCTGATAATGTTTATGAACAAAATGAAGTCTCTCAAAAAAAATTGCAGTTCTTTACATATAGACTGCTGATGATAGTCTGTGCGAAAGCGGCCGACTACTCAAAGAAAGTTCCCCCAACTGTAAGATCGTAAAATTTTAATGTTTTTAACCAAGATGAAAAAATAATTTACTCTTCGTTTTGCAAACACACCGATATGTGATCGTTGGTTAGTTATGTATAGCAGAATTTCCCTAGCGGGTATTGGTGCGTAGTGGAAGTTCTAACTGTATAATGCATTTTATAATTTTATCGGACGTTCTGCTCAAAATTCCATTGTGTATTTCTTCCACTGTAGTTTTTCATTGTGTGTCGTACAATCATTTGTCTGTCATTTCTCAAGTCATAAAATAGGATTAAATTTTATTTTGAGACCTGGTCTGTATCCAGACTTTACTTTGAAGTGGGTGTTAATACTGTTACGAAATACCTAGCTGCGGTAAGATAGCTTGGGGTTGCCAAATTTGGCACGAAATCGCCCATTTGGTGACAAAATTGGCGATATGCCGTGACGGAGCGAGAACATTCTAGAACGAATTCTTACCTGTTTCCCCGAGAATATCATCGAAGGCAGGTCAAAAGCTATATATGCCCTGCCTGTAAGCAGTGTAAGAGAGTATCTTGAGTATGTTAGTTCAGTATAAATGTCTTGAGTTTAGAGATTAGCCTGAAAGCGATCGACCAAGTCGATAGCTGTGTCGAGTCGATCAACCGACTCTCTGTTATAGCCTGAAGGCGGTGTTGCTGATTGTTTCAGCGTATTTGTCGTAATTTTTCGACAACTGTAGCTCATCTTTGAAACTCTTATGTGTAATACTGATGAAAAAATTGTTTTCTGCTTCTTCAATCGTTTTCAACAATCACTCGAAACCCATGAAGCCGTAGAACGTAACAATATAATATTTATGATGGTGTAAATAATACTATATTCTTCGATAGTACAAAGGCATACTGTAAATACTAAAAAGGTTCACGGTTAAACTGCTATCACATCTGCTAGACACCTTCAGCTGCGCATCGAAATAAACATTTCCAGAAGTTCTTGCTTCCAGAATATCTGACTGGAACCTCCCAGAACATTACCATGGTACCCGATAAATATGTGCAACTAATCGCGAGAAAAACTGTTTTGGCCAGAACTTTCCCTTCATACGAGTGCTGAAAGAAACTTATTTCTCCGAAGTATTTCTTATAAATTCGCTATTACTATATGTATGAGAAATATTTCGGAGAAATGCATTTCTTTCAGCACCTCTTACTATCTTGCAATGCTGTGTCATCTTATGTCTACGCTACGCTATGATATGTCACCACGCAATGTCCACCTGTCGTATAGGTCATGCCACACTGCGAATCGTATGTTGTAAATATGTGTAATATGTAACCTGAATGTGTTATGTCGCTCTGCTATGTCCATATGCCATGCCATGCTGTGTTGCAATACTATGCTATGTCTTATCTATGCTTAATTACGTTATGTCGCTATACTATGTCCACCTGTCGTATAAGTTACATTACGTTGTGTATTTAATGATGTAAATATGTTATGTCGCTATGCAGTGACTATATTCTATACTATGGCACGTCGAAATGCTGTGCCATGTCATGTCTATGCTGAGCTATGTTAGTAGCCATGCAATGTCCACCTGTCGTGTAGACATGTTATGCTCTAGATGGAGCGGGTCCCGGACTATACTCGATTAGTCTCTGAAAGCCGTCCGGGTGTCCGGCCCTGCTGTCACCTATTACTATATGTGATAGCTTCATCAAATAAATTAGATTCTTGTATATTATCAAGTTTTCCGAAGTAATTAATTTTTCGGAATACTAACTCATACACGTGCTACTTTTTTAATAAACTGAAGTCGATTAATTAAAAAAATGTATTTGCTAGGTGTATTTGAACAAAGATCATTTTATACTCTTTATTTTATTTGCTTAGAATTAATCTTCGTCCCTCTCCTCCTTCGCTCGTGGTAGTATTGAAATTGAAAGAAATTTATATGAAAAGCGAAGAAGGATATTAACTGAAAATCCGAAGTACTGTGCGGCGTGATCACGAGTGTTTAGTTCATTGTGTCATCAATTAAAACGACTGTGAGTCACAGCCCTACAGTGAATAATTTTGGATTATGTGTGAATTCAAAATTTTAATAAAAAATAACTTATAATTTGAATATGATGCAATCTTTCTATTCTATTGTCTTTTTATGTATCATAATCGTTACCTTTAATTTTTTAAAGGTTAATGGGACAGAAAATGAGAGAAAAAGAGTCTGAATTCGCTTTTAATTTAATACCAGGTGATTTAGTGGCATTTAATAACCGCAGAGTTCTGCATGGGCGTACGAGTTTTGATCCAAGAAGAATGTCTAGGTAAATTCATTTTTATATTTGTAGCATATCTTATTATCATTTCAAAATTTCATCAATTGTGCTGATTCATTTATTTCTTCCTTCATTTAGACATTTAGAAGGATGTTACGGCGATATCGACGAAATCATCACTCGTTACAGATCATTTTTAAAATCTGAAAAACCTTAAGTAATATTTATTGAAAGCTTCTAAGGAATTTTAATGAATTTACGTGATTTTCTTGCATTGTAGATGAGTTATTCCTCTTTATTCCGCATTTTACAGTTGTAAATATTGTAAAAATTGTACTACTCTAATGTATATATTAACATAAAGCTTGCTCTCGTGAATGAAAATAAAAGAAGTCAATTATTGTTTAATATTTACTTCAGTTTTATTCTTCTTAAAGTACATTCTATATAAGAAAGTTTTACTAAAAGTGTATATCGTGACTGAAAAATTCTTCCCTGGACATCGTCGCAGACGGACAATTGTCCACTTACTGAATACCCAGATATCTCCCTCCATTTGAAGAATATTATACAAATTATTATAATCGTGTACATACCAATGCTCCCCAATTATAAAAATTGTAATATTATTTGTCATATATTATATAGCTAAATTACTTCAGTTAACTACCTGACGAGAAGTAATTTTAAAATAAAGCCTGTTAAAATAATCTCTTCACTTGTCCTGCTTTCTAAGAGAAGAGGGTTTGTAGTTTTGAATCTCGGTGTTGTTCATTCGCAAGGGCAGCAAACATTATTGGCCAAGAAACGGCTAGTTCTTCAATACGAGACAAGGTGTCTGCAACAATATTCTGCGAACCCTCAATATAACGGATATCTGTTGAAAATTGCCCTTTGAATTCTAGGTGTCTCATTTGACGAGAAGTTTTATTCTGTTGAAAAGCATAGGTTAAGGGTTTGTGATCTGTGAAGATTATGAAAACGCTTCCCTCTAGCATATGTCGAAAATATTTGACAGCTTCATTAATTGCTAATAATTCGCAATCAAGTGCTGTATCTGGTTTGTGCTGGTGAGAGTTTTTAGAAAAATATGAGTCTCCATAATTCTTCATCTTTCTGTTGTAAAACTGCTCCTATACCTGTTGTTGATGCGTCAAAGTGTAGAGACGTTAGGTTATTTTTTGGAAGCAGAAGAGATGAAAAATATGCAACTCTTTCGCCGGGAATCGAACCGCGGACCTCTGGAGTACCGGCCCAGCGTGCAGAACCACTACCCCACGAAGGCAGGCTAGGAAAGCGGGAGAAATATCTTATATACTTCTCTTTTTAAAGGGCGACTGGTGTTTTTAGGGAACTCAATCGCCAAATCCTGGGTGTGGAGAATCCTCATCCAACACCCCTTTCAGTTCGGGCGCCACTGCAGAGACATTAGGATTTTTGGAAGCAAAAGAGATTGAAAAATTAGCAACCGCTTTCGCTGGGAATCGAATCGCGGACCTCTGGAGTACCGGCCCAGCGTGCAGAACTACTACACCACGAAGGCACGCTAGGAAAGCGGAAGAAATACCTTATAAACGTAGAGTGATAATGGTTTAGATGCGGAAGGATACTGCAGATTTGTTGCCGAAATTAAATCATTTTTGCATTTTTGGAACGCTTCGCGAGATTCTGTGGTCCAGGTTATAACATGTTTATCGTTTTTCTTGCTTCCAACCAAAAAGAATTTAGAGGGTGCTTGTATGGTTCGACTGCATGAGGTAAGAAACGTTCGATAAAAATTTGAGCATAGCAAGAAATCCTTAAGTCCTTCACTGTAGATGGTTCGGGCATATCGCGGATAGCGGTGACTCTGGAAGGGGTCGAACGCCATCAATGGAAATTTCATGACCCAAGAAAGGATACTCTTGGTTGGCCAAAAAACGCATTTGGAAGGATTAAGACTGACACCGTACCTTTGAAAACGTTCAAAAACTGTTCTCAAATGTGATAGGTGTTTTTGCTCTGAAGAGGAGGCGATTAACACGTCATCAAAATAAGGTACACGAAAGTCGAGGCCGATTAACACCAGATTCATGACGCGTTGGAACGCTTGAGCAGCACTGCATAAGCCGAAAGTCATGACCGGAAACTGAAATAGTCCAAAAGGCTAAATAACCGCAGTTTCAGCTGGGCTAACGGGTTAACAGCTGGGAATATCAGCTGGGTTAACAGGCACTTGGTGATACGCCCGTTCAAGATCAAGGGTTGTAAAAATAGCTTTTCCCTCTAAAACTTGCATACAGTCTTGAATGTGCGGCACTGGGTAACGATCAGGAATGGTAGCTGCATTTAACAGGCGATAATCGCCCCTTACCATTTCGTTTCCGAACTAGATGAAGCAGACTGCCCCAAGAACTTTTTGAAGGACGGCAAATTCCCTGTTCCATCATGGATTGAAATTCCTTTATGGCGGCTTTAAGCTTGTCCGGAGGTTAGCGTCTTGGTTTAGCGGCAATTGGAGGTTCGGCAGTTTCAATATAATGTAAGTACATCGTGCTTGGGTTCGGAAATACCTATAACTGCGCGCGTGATTGTAGGGAATTCTCTGAGAAGTTGATGCCATGGGGAGTTATCCGAAATCAATTTAATGCTCAAATCTTGACTATTGCGAATTACTCCCGGATAAGTTAAGTTGGTTGTGGAATCTATCAAACGGCGATTCTTAAGATCGACAAAGAAAGAAAATTTTTGTAAAAAGTCAGCGCCAATAATAGGACTTGAAAAAATAGCAATAATGAATGGCTATTGGAAGTTGCGGCGCAATACTAAATCAACAGATATCAGGCGTTCACCATAAGTTGAATAGAAGTTCCATTTGCTACATAAAGTATAATCTTGGTAAGACGCCTTTTGTTCGTGAAAATGTGGTGGAACGACAGAAACATCAGCCCCGGTGTCTACAAGAAACCTTAAGCCCGAATTATTTTCGATGACGAAAAGGCGTGCAAAATTCCGGCCGCTGTCGTTCATGACTTCGAGCAACGGCCCTTCTCGTTTTCCCTGGTCGTTATAACGACACACGGTGGGCGGCATTTGTTTGCCTTGTTTCCAAATTTGTGGTGGTAAAAACAAATAGCCCGGTTAGGATACCTGGCTTTCATAACGTTTCCTTCAGTGGGCTACGACGTGTATTTCGACCACGTGATGTGGAGCGGTTGCGCTGAAAAGGTTCAGCTTGGAATGGCTACTAACTGAGCAACCTGTTTGGACAAATCATCAATTTGAGCCTCTAACGCCCACAATACCTGACCCAGGAGCCTGCACTGCGTGTATTTGCGCTGTAATGGCCAGCTTCGTGAATTTTATCAGCGATTTCGGGAAGATTTTTAAGTGGCTCGCTACTGGCCGCTAAAATGGTTTGCATGTTAGATGGGCGTCTATTCATCCATAATTGTTTTAAGAATGTTATCCGTTAGGTTACCGGCGGCTAAGTCTGACATTTTAGACAGCAACTTGAGAAGGCCTTCATATCACCCAACCATGTAAATCGTGCAACAAGCTGCTTGATTGTGTAACTTGAATCTCTTCTTCATAAACAGAAATTAATATTTTTTTAAAGATTGTATTTGTCCGTCGCCGGTGGATTCAAAATTATTTCACGAGCTTATTGCAGTATCTCTGATGCTAACGCGGTGATCGCTGTATAAAATCGAGTTTCGTCGGCAGTAATGTGACTCAATTTAAACATCGCATCCAATTGAATGAACCATAACGATGGGTCTCGGCGACAAAAAGGTGGTGGCTTAACTGCCACTCACGCTAATTGTGAAGCAGCATCGTTGTCAACCACTTTAGATCAATCAAATATGCACAGTAATAATATGTATAGAAAAATAATCAATATGTATATAGTGACACAGTTTCTTGGTACTTGAAATCGGAGAAATTGGCGGCTCAAATGCAGCAGACGATACATATATCCGCTGAAATTATGACAGAAATATGTTGACTCATTGGAATGTGGCACAACGCTTGAAATCACAGGTGAAATGTCTTACTTGCATCTCATCACACTGGATAACTTACTGGTGTTCAGAATTTTGATATATAAACTCCATATTTGTACAACATTGAAGGTTGCTATTCGTAATAAATACAGGCTACCAATTATGGTAGTACAATTTTTTGAGACAGATCTTTAAATAATTATAACAATTGAATAGAATAAATATTATTTTGTTTTTGGTTGCTATGGGTTACCAGACTGGCAGAGTTGAGTTGTAGTAGGCAAGTTGCCACATATCTATTTATTTATCTATAATGTATATTAAACTTTTAATTGTTTAAAAACACTTATATAAATATGTAAAATAAATAACACCTTTTTAACTAATTCTAGATCATCGTATGTCTGATTTTTTCGCCGACACAGATGCATTTCCGAATGCAAGGCTAGTGTAGTTAGGTAGTGACTATTCTTAATATATTTTTGAGTATTTTATAGCAGATTCAGCATTTTATTATTATTTGCATTATTTTCTTATTACGAATATATTCTATACATTATATTACTGAAAGTGTTTCTTTTGGGGGGAGCCAAAAAGGTATTTTGCCCCGGGCGCCAGTTATGCTTGCTACGCCACTGGTGAAGAATGAGAAATGCCCTCGCCGGGACTCGAACCTAGACGTCTCGAATATACGCCGAGCGTGCTAACGGTTACACCATGAAGGCATGCCATAAGGAGGGAGATAACTTCCCCTTTTTAAAGAACTATGTATGTATTATGTAACAGACTCAATTATATTATGAACTATGTAATCAACTATGAACTATGTAAGCAACTATGAACTATGTAAGCATGTATATGTATGAACTATGTAAGCAAGTATTATGAAAGATCTAAGTATTCTGAACTACCTTTATATAAGCATGTACTATGAACTATGTACTATGTAAGCATATATCATGAACTATGTAACTATAAGCATATGTTATGAACTATGTAAGCATGTATACAGGATCAATGTATGCCCTTATAGGGCCCATGAGGTGTTGCCCCGGATAGTTGCGGAACCTGGACTAGACCCGAATAGTCTTAGTAAGCCGCACGGGTGTTCAGATTCTCCTCTCCACTCAACTCAACTCAACTCAACTCCCCCTTTTTAAAGGTCGACGGGGATTAGGGGGCCCAATCGCCAAATCCTGGTGGTGAATGTAGGTAGGTAGATGACGGAAGACGGGGACGCCTAGTGGCTACCAGAGACAATCAGGCACGTGTCCCTCGCCTTCCACTATCTAATGGCAACAACTCCCTGTGGCCCCAAGAGACCACGCCTGGAGCTTATTAAGAGCGCAGAGTTTACATGGCCAAACAGGGGCGGCTTATTGACATTGCTTGACTAATTACATAATTACAGGTATGAAATTTGTGAGA